TTACAGCACATGATATTCCTAATCGGTCACCCATCTTAGTACTAACGAGGCTCGATGATGCTTAACTTCGTACCAGAACCGGTGTTTCAGAGTAATGTGGCTGTAAGCCGCGCTGCTCTCTAATATTGAAATACTGGCCAATTTTTCCCGATCTTCATATTACTTCGCTCTCAAGTTTGGACACCCAGATTCTAAGTGGATTTTATTATTATTATTATTATTATTATTATTGTTGTTGTTGTTGTTGTTTTGATTATGATCTTTTTTATTGCTGCTTGTATTATAGCATCGAGTTAATCTTAATGGAACGTTATTGTAGATTTCTAGGTTAGCCTTGTAAAGTTAAGTAGATTTTCTGATATCTCTTCGTGGACGAAGTATTAAGTATTGTTTTTAACAATTTTAGATGAGCTCTGCCTAATCATTTTTGACTCAGGAAGTAAGAGAATTGCTGTTTTCAATGGGAAAATTCTTCAATAAAATTTACTGGAGTGGACAACATATAGAAGCCCAAAGCAATTAAACTCGATTACACACACGCACGCACACACACGACCGCACACACCCGCACGCACACAGGCACACACTAACACGCACGCATAAATATACATGTGTGTAATTCTGTTTTAAATATCTATATATGCAATGCCATATTCAGATGACGATAGAAATCATAGGTATGCAGAGGCACGTGATATTGTTATATGTCAGAATCTATCAAGCAAATGTATTTCAAATTTTGGGTGAATTATTTAATATTCATTCCTACTCAGTAACTGGATTAGATTGTGAAAAGAGAAAAATAGAAAAATAATATATCAATATATAAAAAAAAAAAAAACTTGAAATAAGATTTGGCAAATCAAATTTGAATGCTAAATTGCTAGAAATGATTGTAACAAAAACAAACGGAATTCCCAATCTGAAGGCTTTTATTGTCTTCGAAATGATCACCATTATTTTGAAAGGAACAATTCTTAACGGGGCATTTCCTTTCAAAAACCAACACAAGAACTCAACCTAAAGAAAACTGAAGAACCACCAGATACCTTTTATTCAAACAAATAAATCTTGTTATTCGAGAATAAATCTGAATATTAATTTTCTCAATCTATCTATCTATCTATCTATCTATCTATCTATCTATCTATCTATCTTTTTTTTTTTTTATCATTTCACCCCAGGCAAGGTGATAATGCAACTAAGTCTCAAGGGGTTATTGCAAGTGAAAAAAAATGAGAAGACTTTAGTAAGGAGAAAGAACAATATAAGAAGAGTTTTCAGTTAGAATGTGGACTAGTTGCCAACCTAGCAGTACGCTTTTTTTTTGTCAAACGCGCGCTTATTTGAAGCAGATCTGGGTCGACCACCTGTTTACATACTGGGGTAGCAAATGCACATGTCGTGAATATGAGTACAATTTCTAGTTAAACATTGTGGTGAACATGGGTTTCCAGATACTCTGGTGTGACACTGTGTAAAATCTATTTTGGTATTACTTAGGATGAAATCAATTTCGTTCTGCTCATATCTATCTATCTATCTATCTATCTATCTATCTATCTATCTATCTATCTATCTATCTATCTATAAACACATACAGACCTATACACGCGGCTTTTACCACTTCCAAAATTTTTGACTAATGTTTAAACGTCTGATAATTTTAGAATTCCTTCTTCCTTGTTAAGATTTTTGAGTTTCGCTGCTCTTCATTTTCAGAAGGATCTTGGCAACCGGATCTGTCCAGGAATTTATCCAACATAATCACTCATGTAAAATACGCATTTTTTCTAAAAAGATAATAAATAAAAATATGGGTGCGTATTATACACAGCTACATAAATCTTTAAAAAAAAATAGCGTTTCATAGGTCGAAATGACTACTCACAACAAGTATACAAAAATTTGACACTAGCATTCCACGATTGCGACCCCATAAGGATGTCAAATACAATCACATGTACCTAAAACTACTTATAAATAGAAAATAAAATAAGAATGACCACAAAACTAAATTAGAATAATATTATTCTGTTTGTAACCATTTTCAATAAGAGTAGGAAACGCTGGCCGTAATCAAATTCGAAAGGTAAATTTATAGAGTTTGATTACCAAACAAGGGTGCGTATTATGCGTGAGTAGAAGCATTTTCCCATACTTTCTGCACAATTTTAGGGGTACGTATTATGGATGAAGGCGTATTATACATGAGTAATTACGTTAAGTTTCTGAAGAATAGTTTTGCTTTTGATATTTTCCTTGTTATATTCATTGCTACAAACTTAAATGACGTTGAGAAAGAAAGATTCCTCAAATATTCAATTATTATTATTATTATTATTATTATTATTATTATTATTATTATTGTGTGGAGTGTTCATATCAGTAATAAATTGGGATGTTTTTCACAAGAGATAAAATAGCAACAAGTTTCCTCTGTTCACCAGGGCTCTTCACATTATTATCGCTAATTTTTTGCAGTCTGGTGAGTTTCAATTTTCCACCAGTAAAAGTTATTCGGTTTTTGTAGGCCCATATAAGCGCTTCGGGACCGTTGTTTTGAGAACAATTTGGTACGACATTCAGTTTCACAGCATCAACAATTCTCTGCCTATGTTGAAATATTTTATTCAACTTTTCATTTACTAAGAGATTTCCTCTGTATTCTGTTAAAATAGTAACCTCAACAGATTGGTTCTTTTTATCTGATGCTTACGACCATATAGCGTTGAAACATCGGTGCACATACAATGACCGAAGTTAAGCAACGTCGAGCCTGGTCAGAATACAGATGGATGACTGTTTGGGAATACCAAGTACTGTAAGCTTGAATGTGCAGGTGGCATAATGGATAATGGATTTTCAGTTGAAGAGACAAGTTCTAATTACCGTTGGGTTCATTATATTCGCTTAAACGCAATTACCCTAGGGAAATGTATGAATCAACTTCTTATCCCCCTGTCTATAGGTTAAATATTACGTCTTGTTTCACTAATTTATTATTATCTTAAAGAATTCTTTCTGGCTTTAAATAACCCGCAAAAGGTTAATAAATCGTAGAAAACGAATCAATAAAGAATTATTTCATTTCGTAAATGTAGCTCTGTTATGCTTGTGATTATGTTAATTTAGTGCTGCTAATGAGATTTAGAGGTGTAACAATTTAATCCCCAGAATAATAGCATCGTGTCCACTGGGGCAATGTGCCATTTCTTAGCTGAGGACCGTGGTGAAAATGGACGATTCCCCTTATTCACCAGACAGCTCTATTGATTTTTGGCTATTTCCAAAATTGAAAAATGCGTTGAAATGACGACCATTTGCTGATACCACTGGCATCTTGCAAGACGTGACTCTGTTACTGAAAGATATTCTGGAAATCTTCTTTCAAGATTTTTTCAAACAAGAGCACCACCGCCTGACAAATTGTACAAGTTGACAGCGACTAATAATGACTAGCTAATCAAATTTTGCTTTCAAAAGGCAATTTCAGGAATTGAGTTGTCAAACCTTGTACAGAAAACTATTTTGAAACTAAAAACTGGAGCAACTAGAAAAAGATGACTTTCAGAAATTAAACAAATTAAACGAGAGGCGTAAGGAAACACAAAGAAATAGTTGGTAGCAAATTATTTTGCTTATAACGTTTCTGTTTGGCATGTGAGTGAGCATCCATTTAAGGTGCGAGCAATTTTGAGAAGTACGATGCATGCAAATTATTCAATTTTGTATACTGAATCTATTTCAGAATTCATAATGCATGTCAATGTTTCGGAATTAAACTCTTATTAAGAAACTGTTATTTTATTAGATATATTTAGAATATTTCCATTGATTGTGTGAGTCATTGTAATGGATCTCAAGAATTGTTATTTGTATTATATATATAATCTATTCAATCAGACATGCCTAAGAAGAGAATTTGCTGCCTAAGTACACAAATGCACACACACACACATATATATAGATTTGTGTACTTAGGCAGCAAATTCTCTTCTTAGGCATGTCTGATTGAATAGATTACAGACATTGTGTCTGCTAATTTTTAACAAAATCCTAAATAAAAGAATATTGCTCTACTATTGCACTGTATTGGGCCCTCTTTTAACTTAATGTTACGAACGCTGACATTTATATACCATTCTTTCTCACTTCGTATATATATATATATATATATATATATATTGTAGAGATTACTTAATAAATTCAGATAGATAGTTGTCAGAAATTTGCAATTCGCCAAAAACGGCCGATTAGCGTATTTCTGGAAAATAATGTTTTCGACCAAAGCGTTTTTCTTTATTTTAATGTTCGATGTCAAGGTATAGAGCATTAAATTATATAATAAACAGAATTATAAGAAATAATATAAAAATGAAGTCAATGAAATTAAAAGAGTGCAGTAAATATTTACATTTTTATTATTATAATTGCCGTTTCATAAAAATTGTTATAGGTCATAAGAAATATAATGTTAATGGCGAAAGAAAATCTAGTGGAAAGCTAATAAATGACGGGAACGCAACAATGGAAATAGCACAATGATGTAATTAGAAATACAACACAGATTTTTTTTTTTTAAATCTAGAAAAATAAATGGAATTAAACATTTCGTGAAGATAAATTTTAGAAAGAAAAATGATTAATATTTGTGCATGCATTCAACCAGTTATTTTTTTAGATGGCATCACCTACAATTTACGGCGGAAATAATAATTAGAATTTTGCACATACGATAAATAATGAATATTTTCTAGACAAACATTTGCTGCGTAACGATTTAGTGACCAAATGTTTCGTTTGAATGGACAGTGGAAAAGGTAAAGATTATATTCAAACAAAACAATCACATAAGTTTTAAAATAAGGGAACGAGCAAAAACGAGATAAGTAATTAAAAAGTGGATTGCTTCGTGTTTCAAATTATCAAATTCTTTCAGATTTAGATGATGGTGTTCGAGCTCAGATGAAGCCAGCGATTCCAGTGTTGATATTCTAGACAGATATATTCTTTTCAATTAGAATACTAGTGTGACATAATCATCTTTTCTATTTGACCTTGTATCTTTTACAAACGTACTTTTAGATTTCTCTCCAT